ACATTATATATATATATATCCCTCCAGGCCACGCCCAGTGAGCCACCTCTTCTCACTGTGCTTCACCTCCTAATGTCACACCAGCTATAAACCCATCAGTGGGCTACTCTAGTATCACACCCATGATGTAGTCACCTCCCAAAACCCCCATCCATGAGCACATGAGGCTTTGCAGGATGTCTAACTATAAGCCATAAAACAGGTTAAAACAAGTGTTCATCACATAAAATACTGGGATGAACATCCTTGTTTACTTGACTCTTTTCTGTTGGGTAAATTCTTACAAGTGAAAACGCGGATGCAAACACACACTCATGTACAATTTTATTAGAGAAGATCCAATCAACCATCACAAACGTCAAGTAAATTTCCATTCTAACTGTGGGTGAGAGGATCTTCAATCTCTAGCTTTGGGTGTTAATAATCTTTTTGTTTTCAACATTAGGCATTGAACCCAAGAAATCACGTATGCTAGGCATGCCAGTGGCTCTACCACTGACCTACACCCCCCAGCCCTTTTGTATTTTGAGATAAGGCTGACCATGAACTTTCATTCCTTTAGTCTCAGCCTCTAAGTGGCTGGGATGACAGGCACGTGTCACCATGCCTAGGGTATCAATAATCATCAACACTATATATTAGTCTTTTTAACCTCTGAGAATCCGATAGGTAAAAATGACTGGTGTTTTGTTACTTTTTCTATCAGAAGCTGAACTTTTTATGTGTTTTTTACTATCTGTATTCTTCTATCATTTGCCTGTTTATATTTGATGTGGAAATCAGGAATGTTTTCTCCCCTCAACAGGAAAGAACAGCTGTGCCCTATCCCAATTCTGGAACGCGATTAACAGACCACCTCCTTCCTTCAACCTGCGAATATAATTTTTAAGTTAATTCTCTCTTGAAGCATAGATTAATTGCTTAATCAGAACCCATCTGCTCTTTTTATTGCTTAGTCACAACCCAAACTCCCTCTTTCACTAAAATTCAGATGCCTCTTTTCTGTCCATTCATCCGAGAAAGGGTTACTTCCCCCATTAAGAGATAAGTGAATTTACTTTCAGATTGAGATGGTTGTTTTCCTCCAAGTCTCTTGGGACCTTTATTTTATAAATGAGGGAAATGTGGTCCAAAGAGAGTAAGCACATAGAACCCGGGTTTGTTACCTCTTGGTCCTGAGTTTTGCTACAAAACAACAAAACACCTCTGCCTGAGACTGCAGCCCTCAAATGTTTCCAGGGTTAATTTTGCTCCTTGAACCCCAGAGTTAAGAAGACCTGGTGATTGCTGTTTCTAAGCTCTATTCTGTCTGCCTCTGACAAAGACCCCAGCTACTGATCTTGGCTCCACCTTAGTACTCTCCCTTCTACACAGGAGACCCCGTCATCAGCAGCAGCGACCACTCCATGATTAAAGTACCTATCCACAATCACAGTATCCCAGTACCCACATACCTTACTCATGCCCAACAGCAGTGGGTCCTTGGGCCCCTCTCCATCCTAATCATTCACCATTCTTTTCTTTCTTTGCTTCCAATCCAGCTTAGATTTCATATCTCACCATTTTATTTACTCTGCCAAAATCCTAAAACTTCTTAGTCTCTCTGTACTTGAACTGCATCTACATGGTAAAAACCTAAAGCACCATGAATGTAATAATCTATCCTCTCAGAATGTCCTAAATCCATGCACTCATATATAAAAATAGATGTGTATCTACCAGCCTAGAGGTTAATGGGCTAATATCAGGAAATGAAAAAATAAATTTGGAGAAAAACATGTATAATATGATTCTATTTTTTAAAAAAGAAAAATAGAGAAAGAAATAAAGAGTAAATAGTTACATAAACCCAAGCCTAGGAGTGGGAGATGCCACAGCTTGAATATTTATATCCATCCCCAAATTCATATTGAAATCCCCATTCCCAAGATGATAGAATAAAGTAGGGGCTTCTGGGAAGTGATTAGGTCATGAAGGCAGAGGTCTCCTGCATGGGGCGTGTGTCCTCATGACAGGCCCAAGAGAGATCCCCTGTCCATCCACCATGTGAGGACACAAAGAGAAGATGCTATGCACCCAGAAGGAAGCTGGTCCTCATTACACTGCAAATCTGCAAGGATACTGACTCAGGAGTTCCAGTAGCCAAAAAATGCGAGCAGTACATTTCTGTCATTTATGAGCTACCCTATATTCCTCTGGATTCTTTGACATGTGGCATGATTAAATCAATTTTGTGATGAAAAAGAGGATTTTTTTTCCTGTGCATCATTTCTAAATAGGAGCCAATCTTCAAATTCTGAACCTCTGACATACAATCACCCTACAAAGATGAGCCACTATGGTTCATCAAGCAAGGTGAAGGTTGTATACTGGTGACCACTTCTCTTCCCAGTAAGAGGCTTCATGCAGTGGAGGGTGGGGGAGAAGAGAAGAATGTGGAGAAGGCATTTCACATAATGAGACGGTGTTAACACAAAACAATAAAACAACATAAAAATGACTGGTAGGGTCCCAAGCTGGTTAAAAATACAGCAATAGTCCAATTAAATCCATACAGTGCAATACTATATATTTCTAATAATGTCCCCTCCCTTTGGACATAAGTCAAATTTCAAAAACTAAATCTTCTATGGGAACTATATTTCATCTTTAACACCAGAAAATATTCCAAGAGCTGTAAGAGTCACTAGTTCAGCACACTCTAGGACAAGTATTATTTCATCTGCTTTCAAAACCTATGCAGTAATCTGTCTTTACATCAGATACTATACCTGATAATGGGATGACTGCTCCTATTCGCACCATCCCCTGGTATCTGTACAGCACTTTATAAAGTTCTTTGATACACAGGAGAAAGCAATTGCTTTCTATTCTTAGCAATTGCTAAGAGAAAGCAATTAAAACAAAATGTACCTGGTATCACAAACATGTGCAAATATTTAATCTTTGATGCCTACAAAGATGGCATAGCATGAACTCGAAATGTATGCTATGAGCCATTAAAAATGTCTAATTGTGCCACTGATACTTAGATATTTTCACAAACAGAAAACTGTAGGTGACAAACTGTCAGAGACCAAGTTTAAATTTTATAAGCAAAAGTTAATTTCTTTGCACAAATTCTACTCGATAAAGCTCAGACTGAGAGTAAAGTAATTCACTCACACTTTTTTTGCTTATAAAAAAAATGGGAAAATCTGTGCTACCATACATGACAAAATAGTTCTTATACTACATCTTCCCCAAAGCATTAAAAAAATTTTAGGTAAACATGGCTTCCTATCATGCAATGGTGATTTTGCAAAAGCGAATTCATACAACCTATATATAGATTTTCCAAATTCAAAAGCTGAAAATCTAATTTTAAAAATCTAGGCATTCAACATATGGACCAATACGCCAAATACTAAAAATAAAAGATATGCGCCCATTTATTTCCAGATATAGCAAAGATAAACCTGATAATGCTTTCTACCCACTCACAGATTAAATAGAACTTTTTTTAGGAGCATATGCCATATATATAACAGGATACATTTTCCAGATATCTAGCAAAGTTCAATATAGTGAAAAGAATAACAAAAATCCAACATGTCACAAGTCATATAAAGTGAGTTAGAACTAGAATTCAAGTACAAGATTCAAAGGAACTTAAGTGATAACTAGAAAAGGGCACATAAAGTAAATTCATTTAAAATAAAGATCAAACTTTATAATAAGCAGTAGGAATAAAAGCTTGAGTAGGACATTCTCTTGAAAAAAAAGTCTAAATACTTTATTTCACATGTAATACAATTTTGCTTATAATGAAAATTATTCTTAGGGCATGTTGCTTCTGCAGCAAAATTTTTTTTTCTAACAAACTACAGGATAGTCCAATTCAACATCATTTTGATTTTCCCAGGGCAAGCATAAAGGTTTCTGTTTGTTTTGTTAAGACCCAAAAGCTTCACTAAGCTTCCCAAACACCTCTCTCAACCTTCAAATCGTTCCTTTTAAGGCCTATCAGTCAGTCATCTAACAAGGTTATTCCCCTAAATATGTTTTTAACTATTCTGTTGGGCACTTTAACATTCAGAAATCTCATAGGAAGCTTAAAACACAAAGAATCCTCAGCCAGGATATATACACATCCTAAATGAAGTGGGGTTTTTGATGGAGGATTAGTTTTGTAAATAGTGTATTAGTAGATATTCTGGTTTCCTACACAACTTCTCCTGTAACCTCACAACTGCAGGGACTGGGATGATGAATTCACAGATGATGTTTACATATTTACTTGTGTGTACAACAAGAAGGGCTATACATCTTGGTGTGACTTCTTAGGGTACATGAAATATTTCTTTGCCAGGACCACATTTATACATGATAGTTTTAAGTGGAATATAATACTATACCAAGGTTGTAAGGGAGTTCCTTTTCATATAGAGCCTCTCCAAGTACTGCAGGCCTTCACCTTTCAGTAACTCCAGTGGGAAATGCTGCAGGTTCCTATAATTTAAGAACAGATTCTTGTGCTTTTCAAGCCTTGCCACAGAAATCGTCTTGCAAAGTTCGGAAGCCATGACTGAACATATCCCGTCAGGCATGCTGGAGTACTACATTTTATCAAAACTGGTCCATTTCTATAAAGAGAATAACAAACTTCAGTCATTATAAGACTTCTCACAGGCAGTGACAATAAACCTAATATGATACAAAGCTACATATATTCAGACACTGAAAAGACAGTTTTACATTCTATCCTTTATTTTTTCATTTATAACAACTAAAATTGTCACATATATTTAGGAGGCTAAAATAAACAACAGAAACACTATGATTAAGCTATCTTGACTACTTATCAGAAACAATCCTAGGGGAAAAATACTTTCTAGACTTGGAGTAGGAATCCTTGCCCAGGAAAACAGAGGCAAATTTTACAACATGCCACCAAAGAAAAAGCTTGTAAGTCAAATGCACCAAGGCCCACTTCCATCATAAATTATCTTATTTTGTATTTAATTTAAGGTTATTAAAAATATTAAAATATACGTTATTTCTATTTAGATCACTAAGAACTTAGCTCCCTTCATTTCCTAATATCTAAATACTGTCCTATATTCCAACATATTTATCTTTTTCTTTCCTTTTTTAGCTTTGCATACTATCATAAGTAGCAAAGAAATAGATCCAATGTCACCTAGTTTTATTAATTTAAATTATTCCAGTGCAAAAAGAAACACTGCGTTCAGAATCCAGAACCTTGTATTATTCCATTATAATCCCTCTGTGTCTCGGTTGACTAAAACATAAAATGGATTTAGCAATTCATGTTTTAATGTAAAGGCCAGAGTCCAGTATAAATTATTTCAAATTTTCTTCTAGCCACAATATTGGCAAGGCTAGGAAAAAAAGATAACACTTGACATCTTACTCACTGGACACAGAGCTGAAACAAATTTCATTACTTAACACAGAAAGAATCAGACTTCAAGCTTCCTTAATTTGCCTCTGTGGAACAGCTCAAAAGAGATTAAAAGGAAAGGTTTGACACCAGGCCCGAGGGTTTTCAGAGTGTGGGTTCTTTACAGGCACTGATTTACAAGATTCCACAAGATACTGAGGAAATGCTAAAACAACTACAAAGTTAAGCTTTCCTCAAAGATTCTAATCTGTTTCCCGGGCATCTTTCCAAAACTCCCTATTTGGAGAAAAAAAAAAAAGTACAGTACCTTTTAAACATTCTTTTCCCTTAAGAAAACAATTTTCACTAAGTGTTAATCCCAAAGCCTTCAACAAAAGCAGAGTTCTGTAACTCTTGGTTACTTTCTATAGTTTCTAAACTCTAATTCCTACCTAATAAGGCAGTACTTTCCCATATAAAAAAGAAAAGAATATGAAATGTTCAATAATATCCTCAATGTAACATAATCATCCGATATTTTACCATATCTCTTCCACCTACTCACCTACTTTATGAAACACATTAGGAGACGTATTACACGACTTACCTCTTGACAGTTTGTCTCTCTAAAACCAAGAGGAACTAGATAGTAACTAGCGTATCTGTGTGGAGAGTGAAGCCCTTGAGGTAATTATTCACTAACGCAGTAAACTGCACGCTGTTTAGATGTTCCACAACATACCTAATTTCATACACACAGACAGCCAGTAATTTTCATCACCAATCTGCACCAAGCCAATCTGAACCCACTCTTAGTACATGGGATAGGCGCGTTTCTATTCCTCCAGCTCAGGCCAGAAATCTGGAAGTCTCGAAGAGCTCCACCCTCTCATTCATCCACATCTCCAACCTACCAAAAGGCTAGTAGTTTCCATTTTCAAAATACATCTCAGTTCTATCCGCATCGCTCCATCTGCTGAGACCACAAGCCATTATCATCTGCCTGGGCAAACGTCTTACTGGTCTTCCTGTGTGCCTTCTAACGCACCGATCACAGCAGTGAGCCTTTGAAAACGCACATCCAACTACACCTGCTGATCAGACACGGACCTTACACAAGCTTCTTATTCAGGAAATCATATTCTTACCAGGTCTTCAGGGCTCCTCACCATCAGGCTCCACCCACCTCTCCAGCCTCAACTGCAGCACTAGCCCTGGCTTTTCCCCAGGGACAAGTTTCCACTCTTTCTGGGCTCTTCAGTGTTTGGAATTAGCAAACTCCTCAGCACTTGCTGCTCTCTTTTTACCCTGAGAAGCACTGTCCCATCATCCCTTAGGTTTCAGTGTAAAAACCACTTCCTGATCTTAAACTATTCTGCTATTCTTTCAGAGCAATCCAGGTGTGTGATTTTCTTCACAGGACTCTGCATAATTTGTAATCTGTGTATTTATGAGCGTACTTGTCTATTGTCAGTCTAGCCAAGAATCTGTAAAATCCTGAGGGCAGAGTTTTTGCTGCTTTCTTTCTGCTCAAATACTTGCACCTAGCACAGTATCAAAGAGTGAGCCTTCAGGTTGGAAGTAGTGCGTGACTATCATCCCCGCTGTCTGGATGGCTAAGGCAGGAGGATTGCAAGTTCAAACCCAGCTTGGGCAATTTACTGAGACTGTGACTCAATATAAAAAATTTTAAAATGGGCTGGGAAAGTAACTCAGTAGGAAGGCCCTGGGTTCAATAGCCAGTAAGGAGTTGGGGAGTAAAACTTCAAACAGCCAATGAAAGATGGAAGGAACTAGAATACTATGATGAATAATGTCGGGAGGTTGACTTTTGTCTTTTTTTTTTTTTTTTTTTCGGTACCGGGAATTGAACTCACGACCTCGCACTTGCCAGGCAGGCGCTGTGCCGCTGAGTTAAATCCC